TCTTAATGCTTGCATTCAGCATATAACTTATTTTTAAATGTATTATATAGCGATCTGGCTTATCCCGCGAAAGATAGATAAACAAAACGATTGTGAGTAAAGGATGCTTTCGCCTCCTGTGTGTCCAAAGTGCAACAGAAAATGTTTCGTACCGTGTTAATGAGGCAAATTGTCTCAATGTGAATTGTTAAAATAGTCAGAAGAGATAAAATTGGGAAGGATAAATATATAGTATAAATGTGTTGTAGGAGGCGAGATAGCGCTAGTTTTGAACAAAGACATAACTTTGAGCACAGTGCCATTTTTCTGTTTGAAAGGCCTCTAGACTGCTAAAGAAATAAAGTTTAGACTGACTCTTTACAATTATTTAAGTAGGCCAATTATTTTTATCGTGAACATCATTGTGAATTTAAGAGAAAATAATGAGCGGTTTGTTAAAATTTAGATCAGATGAAAGATCTTTTAATATAAGCATTTGACTATTCAGCACAGTGACGAGGTTCATTTTACAATACGCAACAGCCACAAAAATGATCGCTACAACGCAGTCGATCATCATCTTTTGAACAAACTCTCTCGTGCTATCCGAACAAGACTTACCTCTCATGGAGGCGATAGTGGCGCGACAAATTTTAAAGGAAGTTTCACCGTAAATTTAAAAATGCGTAGAATTTTACCTGCAGAAGAGCTTCATAAAAAAAAAGTTATTACGTATAACAAAATTACAATGAAATAAGCATATCCCTTAATATAAATATTAATTATCCTAAGAATAAATTAACAACTTCCCTTTGCAAACTCTTAAGAACTAAATGTATAAGGGGTTAGAACGTGTTTCCTAAAACAATCAATCAAAATTTTCATATCTTAAAAACAGTGAAATGCAATAATAAATAACATAAAAGAATACAAAAAACAAAAAATCTGAAAAGCAAATTCTAATAATTAATATTATATCTATACTTTCAAGAGAAAAAATTACAATGAAATAGCTATATCCTTAATACAATATTAATTATCCTAATAAAAATAACCACTTTGCGTGAAGAAAAAAAATCATGCAAAACTTTCAATATCATACAACAGAGAAATAAGCAAAAATAACATGAAAGCAACTCAAAAACATAAAATTCCGTGCAGAATTTACTCTACAGAACAACTTTATCAAACAAAATCAATAAAAAGTATTATAATAAATAAGAATGAATATTCAATCTTTTAAAAACAGTGACATAAGAATACGAGAAAAATTGTTGCCAAACCCCTATTTCTGAAGAATGAAACTATTCAAAAAATGCATTTCATCAAAATCTATCAACAACAATAAGACAGGAAAATTGTTGCCAAAAGCACATTTTAAAAGGGTGAGATGTGAGAAGTGTACTCGGAAACTCAATTAAAAATTTTTTTAAAAATACAAAGATTAAATTTATTGTAAAAACAGTCGAAAGGATAAGTTTAACCTGTCCAAAAATCAAGAAAATAAACTGATATTTTTAAAAAAAACATTTTAGAAAAATCCGGCTGAAAAGTGGTAAGCTCCTTTTAATAAATTCGTATTTAATCGATATTGAACACGAAATTTATTAAGTTCGTAAAATACTACGGTAACGTTCCCAACGATGTGAAAATGGAGCTGTAGAGTAAAATGGCGCTATAGCCCCATTTGTAGCAATGACACGCATTTCATCAAAAACATAAAATAAAAAATGTTCTAATTCGAATTCGAAAAAATTGCTTCGAGGTGCACTGGCTCTTGTCAGATGCACCTATGTACCAAAATTCGTAGCCGTGGGTCTATTAGCTTACGCGAAGCGCGAACGAAAGACACACACACACACAGACAGACTCTTTCTTTTATTATATGTAGAGACAACATTTTCTTTTCCTCGCGGCGGAATAAAGGAAAGTGCGATGCGTAAATTTAGTTACTGTATGCTTATGAATGGTTTGATAAGTATGGTGTGAGATACTCGTCAGTCAGATTATGGGAGGTGTAGTTACGTTTAGAATCAGTTTTTAATGAATAATTAGGTGAGAAATATAATGGGAATTACTGTCAGAAAAGGAAAGAAAAAACTGTTAAGTGTTCTTTGGAGTTTAGTGATATGAAAAGAAAAAAAGAAGGAAAAAGTGAGGATGGTAACTAGTAGAAAGACGAAAAGAATAAAGGATAGAGAACGAAGTAGCACTGCGATGAATACCATTAAGAATGTGCTAGATGAAAGAAGATTCCTAAACATGTATCGGTCTCGCGTCGACTGATGGGCTGAAATGAATTATTATTTTGAATACGTTGAAAAGTTGTTTTAAACTGTTATTTTGTGTATGTTGACGGAAAAGGGATTCGAAAGTGTAAACTTCAGGCTTGGCGTCTTAGAATATCGGCTTACGATTGTTACTATATTGTGCGACCATCAGGTTGTGCGACCATATATGTGCGACCATTCCCATCCAAGACGTATTAATCGCAGCGAAATACCATATTTATGACTCTAAGAGGTGATCAAGAGAAATGCTGTTAGAGACTGTTATTTAGTTTGTGGTAAAGCAGAAAGGCGTGAAAGTTTAAATTCCAGCTTTAGAAAAACAAAATCCCAACCTTCGATTTTGATGGTTGTGGGATGAAGCGAATGCTGTGTACCTATGATGAATTACAAAGAGACTGTTCCAAATTATATCTAGGGTGACAAAGAAGCTGGCTTTGCTTCAAAGTAGAGTAATGGACAGTGTTAAGACTGTAACGGACAGGCTACATTAAATCATTAGTAGTCTGGCTCCGGGTGGAGCATTTGAACGAGGTATTCCTGAACGTCGCGTAAATTTTTAAGATTTTTCTGAAACCCTGAAGTTTGCCTGCGTAAATACTCTTCATGTTCTCTTAGCGTATAGTAATGAATGTGTAATCCTTAAGGAAGATTAGCATGTAAAGTTGATTATTTAAATCAATTAAATATGCTGATGTTTATGAATGTGCTCTGTTTCGAGAATTAGAAGTAAAACGCATGTTAAAGAGACATTATTTTGATCTAATACCATCCTCAGGAATTTTATGATTATGTAAATTTAGTTATTAACTTTTCGATGTTTACAAGGGTACTTGGCTCTAAGATTCGGATAAAATTATTATCTAACTGCCTACTATTATGATCTTACATTTTTCTAAAGAATTTAGCCTCATTAGATGACCTATGTATGTTTAATGCGAAATTACGGAAATGTTTAAAATGATTATTGTGATATATATGTTATCTTATTTGTGTGCCTACTAGGTTCCAACTTTAATAAATCTAGATGGTATTTATTAAATTGAACCTGGGTTCCATTGTTTGCGTTACTGTTAAACTCTTTTTTTTAAATCAATAGAAACGTGATAATGTACACATTGATATTAATCATAATGACGTTACTAAGAGCGAGAAAAATCTTTCTTCTCATTAATGTAACTCAAATGAACTTTAAGAAATCCATTAGGAAAAAATGGCAAAATTCTCAGAGCACTGACGAGAATATAGAGAATCATCAGAAACTCTACAGCAAATGGCAGCTAAAAGCATTGATAGATGCCGAAATTTCGGGCTCTGGGATTTGCACTAAAATTGTATCGAAACATTTTCACTAATAATTTCACGATCGAGATTTAACATCAGTATATCAGTGTCGGGATCAAATGCGAAGCAGTAACAGATATAGAACATAAACTAAATAAATATATGCTTTTCTAAAATTTGGCGACACTATGTTGAAACCGTGAATCTATAGAACAGTGTTTCCAAAAAAATGCATTACAAATTTAGATACGCTTTATTTTGAAAAATGGAATAAGACTTTCCCCTAATTTGCATGTATTCATCTCATAGAAATGCATCTCCCCCCCCCTTATTTTAGTATGATGTCAAATATAAAAACATAGAAAAGCAAATTCATACGGATATAGACAACAGAAGATGCAGTTTTGGCGTGAAAGATATGATATGTAAACCAATCACATTTTAGCGCTATATTTCAATGCCGTTATACATGATACAGATTTTCATCTAAGACGATAGCATTTTCATACATATTCTTTGTACATACATAGGCTTTGTACATTAAAAAAATTTGAATTTACAAGGAAAAAAATTATCTTTCAGTACTAAACTATTTATTGGTGCTGAAAAATAGTGAAAGTGTACTTATATTACTTCGAGAGATTTTCCTTAACAAAATAGGAGTAACTTTAGTTACAAAGTTTTGATTTAAATTTTGAATTGGTTTTGTTTATTTGATTATGGCAAAGTACTCGAGGGCTATCTGCCTAAGGAGATGAACGCCTTCGTGGAGAACTTTCTAAGGGAAACTGTCTCATGTACACGTTACACATGGGGAAATGCATGAAAACGCACATGCAACCAGCCGGTTAGCTGGGATTCCAACCCCGGACGGAACTACCGGTGTTCAGCAACTGCTGGGCATCTAATGCGCTTTTAGGTTTTGGAAGAAGATTTCTTTATCGCGCATGTTTCTCATCTTGTTCTGTGCGTTTTTTTTTTTTTTCTTTAGTTTAATATATTTTTTCCCATTAGCGGGCAGTTAGCCGACTTAGTTTTGTCCAATACTAAGGCCGGAAGTAGTGGCCATTTTATTGTGGAAGCATTTAATAGGTGGGACACCGTTACCTCTTATGGAGGGGCGGACAATTTAGAGCCATGCCTTCTCTGGGATCAGAACCGTGGCCCTTCGGTACCGCAGTAGGCTCCCCTAACCACTATACCGTCTGGGAGGCCAGTTTACTATTTAAATTGTTTAAATACGAAATATGATCATGTAATTGATACAGAAATTAAAACTCAAAATAATAAAGGAAAAAACTGAAATTCATAGATTTATTCAACATTGGTTGAAAAGTTTGAAAGCAAGAAATCTAAAAAAAAAATTCTTCTCCATAAAATTTATGAAATTAATGATTAAATTTCCCATTAAAATTAATATTCTAGTTAAAGATTTCAAACCTTACTTACCAATATAACATTCTTCCTTTGATTTGGCTCCTCTAGATTTGGTTTTGAAACCCTCACCACAATGTTTACATTCTGCCGCCGCGTAGTGTTCTGTGTATTCGTTCAAACGGCAAGGAATGCAGTATCCTTTATCTAAGAAATGGCCTGGTTCACAGGGAACTACGTAAAAAAAGGAAATCGTAAAATTTAAAAAAATACAGTCTATAGGAATTGGACGTTCAAACATTCGAATCCCACAGACTTTGCGAAAAATTAGAGACTCAAAGACGCGACTCTTATCAGTTATTTTGTTTTTGTTGTTCTCGTTGTTCGAATTTTTCAAATTCTAATCTAGAATCATTGACTTAGTTGATTTAGCAAAGCGCAGACTATCTGGATGGATATCTTTGTGGAGAACTTTCTAAGGGAAAACTGACTCGTATACCTGTTACACAGGGAGAAAATCACGCAAACGCCAATGCAGCCAGACCGTTTGCCTGGAATCGAACCCAGGTCCGAACTACCAGTTTCAGCGATTTTACCACTCAGCTGCTGGTGGATCTATAAAAAGTTTGAACTCAATATTTTAGAATAATTATTTTTATTTTTGTCCATTAAGAAAAGAATGTGACTATTGCAATTTCAGCTCGCTTGGGCCATCGCCCTCTTCTTTTAGTATCACTGAGTATCATACTCTTAATTTTCTGGAAAACATTTGCACTCTTTGGTTAGCATTTATCTGTGAAATTCTGTCCCCTCTACAACTGCTTTGATTTTAAAAAATTCTAGAAATAAGTAAGCAATTTAAATTATATTCGGGAACAGCAAATATATTAATTAAATCATATTCAAAAAAGGAATCTCAAGATTCAGGAATTCTATTACTCACTAAATTACATTTATATCGTTTTAAGAAATGCATATTTAAAAATCATACACTTAAATTCGCTAAAAACATAGTTTATTCTTTGTATAAATTCAAAAGCGTTTAAATCTAAATAAATGTACTTATTCAGATTTATTAGTATTTCTATTATTATTTGAACAATGCGATATATTCGAGAGCATTTTCGGATTTGAGAAAATTTAAATTTCGTCGCACTTTACGTATTTACTCTTAATGACTTAAATAAGTATCACAAATCAAAAACATTTTGGATCATAAAAAGAACTTTAATAAGATTTTTCTGTAAGGATGCTACATAAAGAAAATTTATTTTGTTTGTTGCTTTCGACCAGGTGTTCTCACCCCTTTTTTTCGCCATACTCCTTTTCACTATTGCTAAACGATCATTCTTCCCTCCGTTCCCAAATTCGAAAAACACGTATACATATATTTAAATTTCGAATGTTTTTAAAGTGTTTTATAAATTAAACAAGAAGATCTATGGAATATATTGATAACTACTAAAACATGAACGAAAAATATTTTTTTATGTTCATAAACTAGTAATCTACAGGAAAAGGCTGATCTCATTTTTCCCTGAAACTATGAAATGTTCTCCTTGGGAGGATTCTCCCCTTGTTGAGAACCCCTGCTTTAGACGATGATGATGGTGGCGAATGGTTGAATATTGATAGACGATGGGTGAAATCCGTAACTTTTCTAGTGCGGGAATAAAAAAAAAGGCCTGTCGCTTTTGCAGGGCTAAGTCGGGAGAAACGTTGCTCTAAACAGCTGGTTGTCCATAATATTTTGTGCATGATGTTCAGTAATTTTTGCTCACTTATCTTTAATGCTAAAAACTTACCACAAAGAAGTTTCGACTCTGAATCTTTCTTCTCGAATCCAGGATCACATATCATATCTTCATCAGTTTCGTAATAAGAAACGACCTCTTCAGCTTTCTCTGAAAGCTTCAAACCACTTCCTGACATAACAGCACCGACTATCTGTCTCGTTACCTATATGAAAACACACATATTTAAAACGTAATTCAACAAACAGACTTTAAAATGATGCATTTACCAAAAGCGTATCACTTTCAAATATTTTTACCGGCTCTTTTATAAAATATTTCTTCAAGTTTTCATCTCAGTATTAATTGGTATCTCAGTATTAATTGGTATATCAGTTAGCAACGGACAATGCATAAAACACTGAAAAATAATAAGCGCAATTATATGGTTGAATGGAGACAATAATGGCAGTTTTGAATTTTTTCTCTCTCAGAACTCAAGCACGCATTTAGCTGCATAATTACGTTCCGCATAAACGTCCTCTACGTTTAAAATGAGCATCGTAATCAATGGTTATTATGACGCCTTGTCGCTTTTAAAACCTTATCAACTGATGATGTGCATTTAAATATCATTTTCAGTATCGTTTTCTCAAGTACGATATTCAATCATATAAGGTTACTCTTATTTTACATAACCAATTAATTTTAATTTTAGCCTCAACTATCCTTTTTTTAGCCTTTAAGAAACAATAATTCTTGAAACTCAGTCGCTTTCCTGTGGCCACATGGAGACTACTAGAAAGCTGTTACACTTTTACGCCTCGCTGAAATAGACAAATATCGATCAACATTGGCAGTCGGGATTCTTGGACGACCTTGCTCAAGCTTACTCTCTACGATCTGGCATCTTTAAACTCTTGACACAAGTTGCATACCCCACTGGTCACTACATTCAAATCTCTAACATCTGCACGATACTGTGCTGCTTCCATTCTCCCGGTGATTCTCTATCTCATTCCATCATCCAAACGTTTGTAGCTACTAATTTTAACCCGGCATTACTATTGACTGAGAAGGAAGAAGTAGTTGTATGTCACGTTCAAAGAGGAGCTAATAAATGCTCGCCATTCCGGAGGGGCGTAAAGATCTGGTGGGGCGCACTCGAAGAGAGCAACCATAAAAGCTAGTATTCCCAATCACTTTCTGTGTTTAAGTTGTATCTGTTGCATTGAGAATAAGTCTTTGAGTGTTTAAGAAAATGGGTTTGCCACCCGGTCACTCTTCACCTAGTTGCATGTATAAGATGATTACATTTAGTTCAGTTAAATTTCTATTTAACAGTTTTAGTTTAAAGAAGCATTGTTTACAACCCTATAATTGTATTTTTAGTCATATTATGATAAAATATTTTAAATAGTTAAATATATTTTTAATTTATCAGTGTATTTTGTTCAAATTGAGCAATTTAGAAAGCTCTTTTTTTAAGCATTTTATAATCTACTGAGTTTTTTAATCCTTGATTTTTGAACTCTTCCAAATGAAATTCAAAAGGTTCTGAAGTTCACTTGTGGATCGTTTTTGCCACATTTATGTTTGCAATTTATGCCACATTTATGTGTGCGTACTTAAACGTAAAGTGGAAGCTTGTAAAATATTCAGCTACTTTCTGGCTAATAATGCTGCATAAGAACAGCAATTATTAAGATCAAAATTTCATAAAAGAACAAGGAACGTTAGCTTCACTTACTCTATCTTTGTCCTCTTTTACTTTTTCCACAGAACAATCAGCTTCGCAGACAGCGTTCGGTATTGCTGGTATAATAACAGGTACTGTTACTCGCAGAGAAGCTCGGGCAGGCTGTAATACAATAACAATATTAAATCACAACAAATTTGTTAAGTGAATCGTTAGACAATTAGAGGAGCATAATTAACAAATAAAGAAATTTTCAACTAATTCTGTTCATGCTATTCCAAACATTGGCTTCTGTGAGTATCATAAGGGAATCCTCAGAAAAATTTCTACGTATATTATTCCAAGCGTTAATACTATATAGAACTAGAATATACTAAACCCAGTATCTGAATCTGATTTATTTTAATTGTGCTACACATGACTATTAACAATATGAATTCAAATCCAAGCCAAAGTAAGGATAAATTAAATACTTATAAAAAGTAAGATTGATCATGGTTTGAAACAGATCTTTAAAGATAAATAGTTAAAGGAAGAGACATTTTTTTTTCCTTTTGGTTTCCGAGATTACTTTGTGATATCATTGGTAGTGCTTGTAGTTTATGTTTAAGCAAATATCCATATTACGTTGGTTACCTTACCCTAATAGGGAATTTCGCAATTGCGAACTTTTAATATTCCACGAGACATAATAACATTTAATCTATCATATGTCCGATTTGATAAATTGCGGCTTCTCAGAAGAGCCATCATACGACATAGTCTTAACTCTTTCAATTGAAACTGTACCTTGATTAGTAAATTGAATCATTTGAAAGCAATATACGGGTAAACACCCTGTGATACGTTTATTAAGTTCCCAAAACACGCTCTGTTACGAATCAAACAAGTCATACTAAAAAACAGGATTCATTTCCAAAAGTTAAGAGAAACACTATATTACTTTTAATTTTAGTCATTAAAAATGCACTTTAAAAGTATCAGGTTGTAGAGACGTTAGGAATTTTTGGAAGCCTGAGAGATGAAAAATGAGCAATCGCCTTCACCGGGAATCTAACCACGGACCTCTGGAATACCGGCCCAGCGTGCAGAACCACTACACCACGAAGGCACGCTAGAAAGGCAGGAGAAATACCTTATAAGGCATTAATATTACATAATAATTTCTTCGTCACCAGCATTAATTATTCATTTTTTGGAAAGTAACCTCATCTTTGTGATAGTCTGTCTTAAAATTTCAGTTTCTTTGAGTGTAATAATATCCATTCAGAAAATTATAATTTTAACTTATTCCGCTTACTGCTGAGAAAATAAATATACCATCCCTTTAATCTTTGTAAGATTTCCCTACCGAATATTATATCAAAGAATAAGCAAATCTGGTGTAGATATTCAGTAAGACAAATTCTCGATTCTGCTTGAATCCTGTTAGAACGAAATAGTGTTATGAAAGTGATATACTGTAACTAGATCTTTCTCAGTTCTCGAACAATATCATAGCGGACCCTTATTGCAGGAGTGTTATGATATACGGAGGCTGACTGTATTTATTCTTATATCATACTTATTTTATAGTTTTAATAACGATTTAGATGTGATTCCAGTACGATTCATATGTTTCTGAAATCTTGTTGTAAATATTATTTACTCTAAAAGTGGTAAATTTTAAAAGCATTACAGTTTGGAATAAATATATTCAAATTTTATTGAATCGTGTCTGTGCAATATACCGAGAAACGCAAAGCATAGTGAGCACTTTCTATACTTCTTGTTTCTTGCTATAATCTACACTTGCTAAGCGCAATAAATCACACCCAAGAATAGACATTCACTGTGTCTTAAGCGTATTTACTGCGAATTCATGCAGATATGTTATCGAGATCTTTCATGGAATATTTTTTATGTTCATGCACCCCCCCCCAAAAAAAAACATACACAGTATAGTATTTAGTAAGACTGTTTGTAATTCGCTTACCAATATCAAGCATATGATTTAGTGTGCTTGCTATGAAATCGAAAGTGTATATGATAGAACTAGGCATCAATTATTTTCTACAGGATATTCAGCTTGAACTGCAGCGCTTTCTTGAAAGAAGGTTGCGACGAAGGAAGAGAAATATTATCGGAGAGTTGTTAAAGGCCTGAAGTTAACAGCATACAGAGCTCAAGTTGTGAGCGAACAATAGTCTTTAGATTTGCGAAAATTTGTTATTTGCTATCATTGGTTTAAGACATTCATACATAAAAACGTGATAAAGTAAATTAGCAATCTAGAATATAGAAAATGCTCAAATCCTTACAACCGTCATCTCACAACTAGTCTCACAACTGAGAACTGCAATACCGGTATACTGGGATACCGAATACCGGTATTTTGAGCCATTTTTACAATTTTGTAATACCGGTATTCACAAGTTTAAATACCGTTTTTTCGGTATTTACTACAAATTTTTTAAATTCTCTCCACTATATGTTCAAGGTTCGCCAAACATAGCAAAATAGTATACGTTTTTGTTTTTATGTCTCCCTAACGGGCGAAATTAATTAAACTGTGAATAGAAAGTTGCATCGTACAGTCTAGAGAAGTGATACAATATATAAATCATACAAGGAGGCGAGCCAAAACTGCCCTGTCCTATTACAGCTCAGAGCGATACTGCACACGCGCAGAACTCGTAGTCTGATATTCGTGCCTGTTAAAATAAGGTTGTAGTTGTTAAGAAAGTGCGTAATATTTCGAAAAATTTCAATATTTTTTAAATTGGTGTTTGTTATTTACAGTGTATTTATTGCATATCATATTTTAAGATTCAAAATATTTTTCAGATTTGTTATATACTCATAATTAATAAACCCATAATAATGAATAAGAATAACTTTAAAGAATATAAAAAATCTGTTGATAATACTTCGGTTTGGTTTCATTATTTATATGATGAAAAGAATTTGGTGGCACAATGTAAAAAATGTTCAAGCGGCTATTTTAAAATGAATGGAGGAAGTACATGCGGACTCCATACACATTTAAAAACGAAACATGATACAAATTTGTTAAAGAGGAAAGAATCTAATTGCGATGAAGATACAAATTAAAGCACAGTTTCTAAGCCTAAGCCATCAGGGATTTTAGACTATTTAAAAAATAATTTTAAAAAAAAAAGATAATTTGGATGAAATTATAAGTAAAATGGCAGCATTAGATGGTTTGCCTTCCATTTCGAGTGTTTTACACTTCTACTGAATTAAGACAATCACTATCCGCCAGAGGTTCTAAAAACTCTACCAGCATCTATTAACACTATAAGAAGAACTGTTATAAATTACATTAACAGTGTTCGCAAGTCTTTGAAACACGAGCTAATACAATTAAAAGTAAATCGTGAAAAATTTAGTCTTACATTTGATGAATGGACAAGTGTAAGAAATAGACGCTATTTTAAATATAAATATTCATATAAAAAATTTTGGAATATAGGACTTACACATGTCTCAGGAAGTATGTCAGCCGAAAAATGTTTGGAAGTTCTTAAATCTAAATTAGGGAAACATGGATTATCCCTGAAAGAAGATATTGCATCAATAACGACTGATGGAGCAACGGGCAACGGTTATGAAAAAAGCTGGAAAGTTGATTGGTGCAAATCAGCAATTGTGCTATGCTCATGGAATTCAACTAGGAGTAATAGATGTATTATGCCAAAAGAATAAAGAAAAGAAGAACCCAAATATACTTCCAACTTCCAACTTTGAAGAGAGTTAGAGGGATACTGACAATGAAGATAATGACAATGTAATTGTTGAAAAAGATATTGCTAATGAGGATGAAATATTAACGCATCAAGAACTGCTTCCTATAATTAATAAATTTCGAAAAATTGTTAAGATATTTAAATGTTCCCCTACAAAAGTGCCTTATTACAAAAATATAGGCTAACAGAAAATAAAACAGAACATACAAGTATGTTAATATTAGATTCTAAAACACGTTGGAACAGTTTACTCCTAATAATGGAACGACTTTTGAAACTGAAAATTCCAATCCAAAAATAACAATCGACTTCTGCAAATTAATTTTTCAGATAGTGAATTCGATTTAATATCCAGAACTGTATCAGCTCTACTTCCAATAAAACTGCCTGTGGAAGCATTCTAAAAGAACACCACACATCACTATCTGAAGAATTATATATTACATTGAAAAATCGCACAGAAGAAAGGCATACCGAAAAAATAATATCTTACAGTATTTACATAATTATAATGATTTTAAAAAAATGAAAATGAAAAAGAAGAAAAGAGATTAACCAAATCAAATTTGATCAAGTTTATAGTAAATTTTCTCAAAATTTTTTGCCTACAAACCTATCCACATTCAGAAGAATTCGGTACAGTTATCAAAGATGATGATGACACTAATGTGGATATCGATAGTGAAAAGGGTTCTCTCTTGAACAAAAATTAGAATTAGCGATAACTAAAAAAATTTCAACAAACCAAATACAACACAAAAATCAGTTATATCCAAAATCCTCCGATGAGAAATCGATTTATTTGAAGATGAGGGAGTTAGAGGTAAATACTTGGAAAAAGTATATTGCGCATTGCTGACAGTACCACAAACTAGCGTAAATGCTAAAAGAGCGTTTACGACAGCTGGTAATTTTTGCACAAAATTACGTTCCAGGCTTAATAACAGTACAGTTGATGCATTCTTTTTTTAAGATCACATTTCAAAATTTTATAATAGTACCAAAGACTGAATAGCTATATTTACACATTTTTGCTATTTAAATACATAAGATGTTCCTTGTTTCTTTACTTTTTTGTGATTATTTATATACTGTTATAATTTATAAGTTACAGATGATTTTTTGTGATATTTACTCTCTCTAATAAAACTGGCAAATTAAAACAAAGAAACACCTGTGTTTTCTTTCTTTTTTCTAGACTTCCTGCTACCGGTATTAAAACCAGTACTCTGGTATTAAGATCTAAAAAATACCGAATAACCGGTATTGAACTTTTGGTCCGAAACTGCAATCCCTACTAACAACTGAAAAGTTTGTCCAAGAAAGGTAATATAGCTAAGACTTACGCGGAAGTAAAACCATATCCCAGGTTTCAGAATAACAATCAAACTGTTCTTAAAACTGCAGTACCTACATCGAAACACGGAAAAAATTTTCAAATAAATATTTAATGAAATTCTAGTAAATTTTCGAGGAAAAAGGTTAACCAAGAAAGTTATTGCGAACAGAAAGAGGCTTGTTCAATGAAGCATAAATCGATGAATAGTTGCATATTTTTTTAAAGGAAAATAACGCTGTTCTCACCTTTCCTGTTCTATTTGCTGATAAATACAATTACCTAACGAAATAAAATACTTATTATTTCAAAATAAATACTATATCTACTCAAAAATAAACCCGCCTTTTTTGCTGTACTTTAACTCCAAAATTTCATAGAACCTTATGAAAGGGGATTTTGATAAATGATATTATAGAATGAAAGGGAAAAAAATTAATTACCACACTGTATAGAATATTAAACATCTAGGTAATTACCGTTTGTTAATAAAACATTACACATCTAGATAATTACCGTATGCATACTACATAACTACCGATATCTATAATAACCACGTCTAGCTGAGCAATTTTTAGCTGAAGCCTGCATCATCTATAACTGGCAGCAGTATAACTGGTCACTGGTATGTCTGAAAACATAAAAACAACAATGTATCACTAGCAATATAACGGTACTGTTATTTGGAAGAAATTCAGGAGGAAGAAAGAAATTAGATTCTCTTTCTCATTATTGGGAAACAAAATTAAATTCACCTACATTTTTATTTCTTATAATAAATGCCAAAATGCAGGGAAGGTCATATAATCAAGAGTGTCTTATTTTCATATAAATACGGTATGTAAGTATTATTAAACTAAATAACGAGGTCCACTGGAGTTTTGATTTACTTGAAATCATTTCTCATTTATTTATTTACGGAACAAAAGTAATTATGCGGACAAACCAACTTAAAGTCGTTTCACTCAGTTCGAAAGACTGAAGTTGCGTTACATCAAAAATCATAAAAATTTTACTCACATTAAATACTAATAGATTTTGCATTATAATGCTGAAATTAAAAAATAATTCATTATTTCAGTTACTTAAATTTAATAATCATCTAGTTATAAATTTGTGAAAGGGGATGACTTTTCAATAGTCTTTCTTGATTGCACATTTAAGTTAAAAATTATTTTATTTAAGTTTTTTGTCTGTTGCTCCCCATAGTTATTGCGGTTAGCTTTAATGAAGTATGATAAATTAGAGCAGGTGAGACGTAAGATAACAATTCTGATTGCATATTTGCTTTGGGACTTTCCGACAGTTTGATTTTAAAAAACAATCTTTATAATGCTGTTAGCAATACTTTTATTTGAATAACTTCAGTTAAAATAAATGACGCTTTTGAATAGAAATAAAAAGAGTTCATTAAGCCTAACGTCTTCAGTACGTTTAATATTAACATCATTGTATAAGATGAAAAATGACTGAGATGAAGATGTCCAAAATGACTTAGCTCATTTGTTTATTTTAGTAACTCATTACTCATTTACCTATTTTTTTTTTCCAGTCTAAACTCCTTTATTATTTAATTTCCCTTGACTTCAACGCACTTCATTCAATTAGGCGTCAAGTTACAGCAAAAAAGTATGTTTTATCGTAGTCTGATGATCGTAGTTTTGTCTTAGTCCGGAACGACATCTTTTACATCCTCATCGTCACCATATACGTGAGCCATACAAGTGACTTCTTCGGATTTTGAAATTAAAAAATCTGATGTGGACACCACACAACTTCCTCATACGGCCTAATTATTCGCACTTTTTTGCTGTACTTGAAACAACAGTAATGGTTTTCAAAATGTTATTGTTTGCCTTCAGTCGTTAGAACAATCAATCACCGGAAGCCACAATTTGACAAATCTGTCTGTCTAAAAAGCGACTGGGGATTAGAATGCCCAGTCACCAAATCCTTGTGGTGATGAATTATTGACCATCTTTTAGTTCAGACGCCAGTGTAGAGACATTAGGTTATTTTTGAAGCAGAAGATGTGAAAAATGTGCAATGCCCTCGCCGGGACTTGAACCTTTACCTCTCGAATACGCGCCAAGTATGCTTACCGTTACACCACGAAGACATGCAGAAAGGGGAAGAAAATACCTTTAAGAAGACGATTAAACTGAAACAAAACAAGATTTAATTTTTACTAAAAGAATATCAGGTAAATAAAACGGTAAATAAAGTAATCTGATGAATTGATAATTAACTAAACAATTTTAACAGAGGTAACCTCAAGCCGTTACTCCTTTTCCTAATCTTTTTAGATTATATTTTTCATAAAAAATTGCCAATAAAACTAAAAAAGAGTTTAGTTATATAATGATCTATATTCATTACTACTTAAGTTTTAAATTCCATTAATTGTTATAAATAGATTGAATTTTCTACTTAATTTCAATTTTTGAATGCTTAAGTTTCCTTTTAACATTTTCAGCAAAAATGTATTAGTTATTCAAAAATATGAAATACAAAAATAAAAATATTCTTCGTTCCTTCCTGCGCTCATAAATCATTATGCGAATATGCATTCTGAATTTTTAAAACCTGAAAAATGTATATCTGCGATTTTATCGTCATGCCGTTATTTGTAGGTGCTTTATTGTTTACTATGAGATCTTTTATGACGATGTTTTTAAACTGCGAAGTTTTTTAACCGCTTTATTTCGAAATCGATGTTTTAGAACTGCGATGTTTTCTTCTTGCTTTCTTTTCTGCCACGATGTTTCGACTAATGATGTTTTCGCCTTTGCTCTGTTTTCTCCGCGATGTTTTCATCTGTAACCACTTGCTAAATGTATGCATATCTTTCTCTAAAAATGTTATCAAAAACGTATTAGAGAATATACCTCAGCAAAATGGCAGTTGCTGACAATATTGCCAATTTTGCATTTCCTTGTGATGCAAACTTTGCCTCTTATTTTGGACTGGACGAAGATTTTAGTAATGGCTTCATTTTCTTCTTTACAATCTTTAATTGCATAAACGAAAATAACATGCACTCTAGCAGAAGGAAGTTGCTTCACTGAGAAATAAAGCAAAATATTATTCTTAAGTGGTTTGATCAATCATTATGAAACAGTATTTGAACTACATTAAGAACCGAACAAAAGATTAACACAGTATGAAAAAGAAGATAAACTTTTATTTTATTTTATTTAGTTAATAATCATAATTAGTTAAACCTTCTTCTTAATCTGTCAGTTTTTTATTCAACATTTAGTGAAGATGCAAAAAATGTGATTATCTAATCTATTTTAATTATTATGTTTCTTTCTAAAACTATATTTTGACATTTGCTCCCAACTTGACTGATAATAAATTGAATAAAATGATTATCCGAAATTTATATTTTTATTGTTCATCAAGAATAAATGAGATAGCATCTAACTGTTTTCACAATGTGCCAAGTTGTACATAACATGAATAATAGAATTCAAGAATTTAGGTTCAAATATTTCATAAACTTAGATTGAGAAGTTCATTAAATGCTTAATTTTATCTTAAGAAATAATATTTCATAAAAATGAATTATAGTACGTTTTACCTATGAATATGTGGTTCACCTTTATAAAGCCAGAGTTCGTTTGTGCCTTGCAAAAATACAATCCAGCATCTTCAATCGATGCTTTTCTAATAGTTAATACACCATGTTTATCTACACTGAATCGTTTCCCATTCAAAACTTGCTTCTTTAATGCGCGTTCCCATAAGAAATTGCTGGCTCCAAGACGTTTTGCCATGCTATTTGCAATGAAACAAGGGATCTTAACATCGGATCCCAAATAAATTTTATCCCTTACCAAACCTATAAAAAAAAAAAAAAAAACTTTTCAAATTCTTTTATGCGATTAAATTTACATAAAAAGTTTTGCCATTAGCTTAAGTTAATCAAAAAACTAAGTTTTCGGTTATAAATACAAATTTTAAACTACTTATTTATTATATATTTATGAATACCATTTAAGTTATTTACTTTTAACTAATCGATATAGTGTATAGTTATTAAGTTAATAATTATGGGAGACCTGGCATGTTGTTCACTAATTATATGATGGTCCAGAATTACAGGGAAAATTCCTAGACCAGTTTAAAAGTAAATTGGCATCAAGACAATAATATTCAGTCAGAAGACGAAATAAAATGCAAACTGAACTATATAAAAAGTTCAGAATTCTAAAAAAAAAAAACATAGGAAGACTGAACAAATAAAATACTATCAAGTCTTTCCTTGAGTTTCATTTTCAAGGTTTACTTTTTCCTTTAACTATATCATACTCCTACACCTTTGTTAGAATTCGGTGAAATGGTATGAAAGAGTTTGGCAGAATAGCAGCAATGTCTTCCATTGTTAGATTTGATCCTAACGATGGAAAATCCATCGGTTTGATTTTATTTGATTATGATAAAGCACAGGAGGGCTATCTATCTAAGGGAAGGGATACCTTCACAGAAAACTGTTTAAGGAAAACTAGCTCGTATTTATGTTACATATATGGGAAAAACCGCAAAAACGCAATGTAGCCAGCCTGTTCGCCGAGAGTCGAACCTGGAACCCGCGTTCAGCGACATTACCGCACGGCCAGTAGTCAACGTTAGGAAATCTGCTTTCTTATTATGCTAAAATCGGTGAGGAGTAGCATAACAGGTCTCTTGACTGTTTAAAGAACATCTGCATATTCCTCTAAAGCAAAGAGTATTTGCTTCGGCAGTATATGTATAAAATTGGATCGAAACATAGAAGACTATCAGGGGTTCTGCAGAAGGATGACACACAAAATCATGAAGCATTCGACATTTTGCTTATAAAAGATCAAGCATTCCTCTTGCGCAGAAATACAACATTTGGAAACCTACACCTTATGATGAAATTCCAGAACACCCCTACCGGATTCTCCATCAAAATATCCAAATATCTACTTTAAGTTTAAAATAGAAACAAAAACATGAAACAATACTAAGACAGAAATTTATACAGGTGAATCAAAACGTAATACTAAAATAGGATCTGCAATAGTTGCATATCAAAGGCAGCATCAGTCTAATATAATTGAATTTTATCTAAAAAGCAAAAATTTAGTGTTTCAAGCAAAAACATTTGCCATAAAAGAAGCTACCAAATCAGCATGAACAACAATATACAAACAATAAAAATTAAAAAAATAGAAAATGAATATTAAATTATTTTCTATCTATTAGAATTCTATTATTAGACTATAAATTCTATTATTAGACTATTTCTATTATTAGACTATTGCACGTATTATAGAAAATGAATTTAATATTCATTTTCTATAATACGTGCAATAGTCAGTAAAGCTCAGTAATCTTCCATCTTAAAAGAAACCATAACATATTTAATCCAAAACCCCCAAACAAAAATAGCAATAGAATGGATTAAAGCACATACTGATGATAAAGGAAATGATGGAACTGATCTAAACGCCAAAAAAGCAGCAAGCAATGTAAATGCATAAGAAATATTAATCTAAGCTCCCGAAATCATACTTATTCTCCTTAAAGCAAGAAACGTTACTAAAACGAGACCGATGGTGGCTAGACAACCCACAAGAAAGAACATACAAAGGCTTCAAAAAGATGACATTAGCACAAATTCTTACATAAACTGGTATATAATGGGACATGAGCCTTTCCATACATTTTCTTATGAAAGAAATGTCTCTCAAACAGGCATCTGTGTATGTGAAAAAAAGAAGTGACCCTGAATATTACTTCTTTGACAGCACAATAACAGAACTACTCTACGTAAAAAACTCAAATCAAAACATAGAAAATTTCCTAAAACAGGTAATAAAAAAATCTACACTTATAGAAGAAAATGATTGAAAACTAATCTTCTAAAAGAAACGAATTATGCGCAACACATTATTATTACTAAAAATAAAATGTATCGTGGAAAATACCAAATTCTCTATGCAATTACTTTTAATTAAAATAGGTAATACTATGAACTATTCTACCTGTATCACATATTATGAAAGAACTATTAATTTACCAATGAACTACATCTGTAGTAAACTTATAATGATGAACTATATGAACTGTTTTATGAACCACTGATTAAAACGAATTATTAACTACTAATGAATTATCAACTAAAAATTTTGCTATTAAAGCAAAATATAATAATAATTGAAAAAAGGATTACATAATTCAAAAAATGTATAAAAATATAATTATAATTAGTATAAATACAAAATTAAGTACAAAAATATAGTAACTATTTAAAAGCATAATGTAAGAAATAAGAACTAACTTTTTCACAAAGACCAAAATTGAAATTCAAAATTACTATATTTCAAAAGATCCTATAAATGCAATAAAAAAATTTAATATTAAAATCAAAACTTTTCAAACAAGCAATACAACAGTTCAAAAAATTAAGGAAATTTAAAGAAAAATTAATATAATAGAAGAGGAATTCAATCACATCAATGCCACTTCGTCAGGAGCAGGAACATTGAAATCAGTTGGAATCACTCTTCCACAAAAATCCTTGCTTTTCTGTATCCAGAATTAGCCGATGAACCATTTCAATATATTTATAACAGTTCACGCGTTCTGGCCCCTTCCCAAAGCAAGGGAAAAAACAAAGGGTACTATTCCCTTTAGAGGTTCGTAAAAAAATTGCAGCAAAAATGTATGCGCGAAAGCTCCAAATCTAGCGTACGCGCTGATTTCAAATTGCGTAAGTTTAGATACACTGCTGGCCACCTAAATTGCAACACCAAGAAAGACAAGAGATATCACAACAAAATTTATTTAGTAGATAACATGTTGACCAAGTATCAAATGATTAAATTTATAGACTCCTGTGAAGTGTGCTTCCTTCCAGAATCAGTAGCCAGAGCAGCCGCCATTGTTGGAGATCACGCTGCCACACGCCTCGGCATTGATTCAAAAGAGACTTTGGATGTGTTCTTGAGGTGCAGCAGACAAAGCAACTTCCACACGTTGCCAAAGTTGATCTGGTGTGGCAGCTTGGGATGTAATCTGGGTCAATCATTCAGCAACCATGGATCACATGTTTTCTATCGGCGAAAAATCTGGAGAGCGAGCCTGCCAGGTAAGCAATTCAGTCTGGCGATTGACAAAGAACCTTTGTACAATGCGTGCCACGTGTGGTCGCGCATTATCCTGTTGAAATATGGCTGTGGGCAAGCCCTGAAGGTAAGGAAGGACAACTGGCTCCAACACCTCGGAGATGTAGCGCTGGCTGTTTAAAGTACCGGCAAGCGTATTAGAGGAGTGCGATATTCAATACCGCCCCATACCATAATACCCGGTGCATGACCAGTGTGGCGGTGCATAACTCAGCTGTTCAGCATGCTTCTCTCCGAACGGTGTCTCCAGACTCGAATCCGGCCATCGTGGTGTTGCAGACAGAAGCATGACCCGTCAGTAGAGACCATTTCATTCCATTCTGCCGTCCACATCCTTCTTTCATCGCACCATTGGCGGCGGAGACGTCTGTGGTTCTGCGTAAGGGTAGACGGAGCAATGAACGTCTTGCAGACGCTCTGCTGTAAAGCGTCGAATGGTACGCGCAGACAGTGGATGATGTGTTACAGACTGAATGTGCTGTGCTATGATTCGTGATGTGACTGAGCGATCCGTCACTGCCATGCGCACAATATTCCTGTCATCACGTGAAGTGGTGCACTGAGGTGGATGCGATCGAACGCGTCGGTCCGTCGTACCCTTCTGCATCCAACGGTCACATATCCGCATTACAGTTGTTTGGTTTTGTCCAACACGACTACCGATTTCCCTGAAAGATAATCCACACTCTCGTCGGTAGGCCACTATCCTTCCTCTGTCAAACACGGATACTTGATCAAACGATGATATCGCTGTTTACTACGAAGCATAATTCATTGGGTTTCTTTTTTTTTTTTTTTTTTTATAAACCACAAGAAAAACACAATTTCTGAACTTGAACTCGTCGAAAACTCCAAGCCTTAAATAGCGCTTTGAAGTGGCGCCTCAGGCGCGCATGTGTTGCGTCTGCGCTGAAATTCTCATCATTTGCATATATCCCCTCCCCTAATGCATGTTGTAAATTCCATGTTATTTGCATGCTTCCTTCAGGGTGTTGCATTCACGGTGGCCAGCAGTGTAGTTTTATATTTCTTAAAGACGCCATTGAAATACTAGTCTAATTTTTAAATCCTTTTTTTTTATATATATCCTATTGATTTAACAATTTGGGAATTGCCCATGACGAAGAGTCTGCAATCCATGTACGCATCGACCTATTTTCACTTAAAAAAATCCCAGAATTGCACAAAAATGGCACTGCGCACACCCTTGACTTTATCTATGTACACATCGGCCTATTTTCACTTAAAAAATAAAAGAAAATTTACAAAAATCCAATTGTTTTTACCCTTGTAAAAAGCGGCAAACAAATAAGTGAGCGATTCTGCACTTCACCAAGAATTTTATTCAAAGAAAAAGGCATCATTCAGTATAGAAAATGTATGTTGCTTGAACAAACAACGAGATGAAATTATGCTTTACGCTATAACTCGTTAGCGAAATAGCGATGCAGGACATCCATTCAGTTATATAGATGGCAATTTTTATATAAATAATAATGATTTTGAAATAGTTATTTACTCTTATGCTTCCATTCAGTTCATGTTAGCCTTTTTTATATAAATTATAATAATAAAAGTATTATCTGAAATTAACCTTTCATCTAAATTAAGACAATAATATTTAGATAGTTATTTACTGTTATACTTCCTTTCTTGCGTTAGGGTTGCAGCAATTATTTTTGGCAGCACTGGCATCAACAATAGTTAGGCGATTTTTTAGGGTCTTCAAAATGGAATAGTACCAAACAAAGTAAATTCTAATTAAAATCTTGTACTTTAAATAAAGAGAATTCTAGGTAAAAATTGAAAACATAGGTTAAATAATAAAATTCTTCAGTGAAAAATTCAAATCAAAATTTTACCTTTAAACAAATAGCATATAATCCAAAGAATTTACGTAAGTGGAATTATAAAACTTATATCTTTACTGATAATTTTTCAGCAGATTAATGAACGAAAATACTAGGCATGTTTATATTTTGTTTTAAAAAATTCTTTTGTAACTATTTAAAATGTATATTAATTATATGTTATGTATGCTACATATGTTACGGAATGTATGTTATATATGTTATGTATGTTACTTCCGATCGTCATTACAATAAGTTATTTCCGATTTTTCCTTCCTGAGTAGGGCTAGAAAATTTTCATATTTTGAAGCTGATGTTATTGGTTGGGAATAAGTATTGCGTTCTTTGGTTTTCTAATTTTTTTTTAGATTTCACAGCGTCGATATCAGCTAAAATGTGATTTCTTCACAGAAAATGCACTTTGACTTTAATCTGCATTCATTGCTCTAAAGCTTTAATCTGCATTTGCGAAATCTTGTTTCATTATCTGCTCAGCGAAATAGTGGTTAAATATAAAACCTGTAATTCTACGCATATGGTACATTTGCAATCTGGGCATTTGAACTCGAAAATATTCCGGAAATTAATTCTACCGGATATTGAAATCGAGGGTGCGAATAATCAGAAAGTACCTCATTGAAAAATGATTAAAACCAATTTTTACATAAGCATTATTTAACATAAATTACCATGTTTGTTACTTCACTAATCTCAAAATATTGAATATGAAGCCTAATTTACGGAAATTAAAAAATGATATCCTGTGTTTTAGCATCTCATCTTTCGTTAATGTGGTGGATGGTCATCTCTGACAAAAATGCAAACTTCATATCTTGGTTTCATAAAACATAGCAAACTATTGATCAAACCTTGTGAACTACACTCTATTTCTTGTAATTTTCTACTCCCCCTTCGCTGCCAGGACTGCCGGTCTTACTTAGGAAAGGTGCTTATCGGCCTGGCTACTTTTTTCTGCTACGAAAAGTAGACAAGCCGATAGCACATTTCCTAATATTTCTATACGAAAAGTATACTTTTCTATCCTGAAGCGCCCTAGAAAGTATTTAGTGCATTGCATTTCGACAAGTTCATCCCACTCATGATCAAGCGAGTTCAGTTCTGATGAGTATGCTGACAGGTCCCCACGACTGTTATCTTCTGTTTCCAAATGTCCTGAGAAAAGAAAGAAGATATGATCCAAAAGTATTCCTAAACAAAAGACTTCGTCCATTTATCTGTGACCGATTACAGATCTTGTATCAGAATAAGCAGTTTACTGACCATTTTTAATGATTCTAACTATAAAACAGTTTCCAGAAAACGGGATTCTTCATGACAAGGCAAGTTGCGTATTTCTCGATCTCTCTGGAGCAAAATACTATCTGCACATTCTCAGTTCAGGCTGTATCTAGACTTAATAAGAAAATACGATCCCATTCCTCTTGGCTCAACTGAAGATGACGAAGACATCGCCTGAAACGGTCCCCTTTGGAAGATGAAATGAGTGAGAGACAACACCATCGGTTTTCTCCGAGCTCATGAAATCTTTATACAAAAGTAGAACAGTCAATTCAAATTCCTGTGGCAACGTGAAGATTTGAAAAACCAACTCTTTCGCAGTCGCTTTACAGTTTCCTCGAGCTGTCAATGACAGAAAACTGTCTTTCTGGTGCATTTGTTATCCTTAACCGCTATTCAGCAAGTTTTTACTAACTGATTCATTGCTTAAAACGCAATTCTGAGTTTCGATATGATTATTTGAGGGATATTTAAATCTAGGAAGATTCCCCATTTGTGTTGATCAATTCTCAGGTCTATAAATTAGCCACCTCTTTTCACTTAATTTATACCATTGGATCAAAATTTAACGAAACCTAATCACTCACAAAAACTATATTAATTTTAAAAGCATTATATACACTCGAATTTTAATATGCGTCCATTATACAACACGTTGGCAGTCGCTTAATTTGCATATTTCATGCGTTAATCTAAGTGCAGATGACCAACTTTATATTCAGTTGTAAATAAGTAATATAATTACACTCACTACTGGACACTAGTGGAAACTTTAATCATCAACGAGCATACTTTTGCAGATTATCATTTAATTCTGATAACGAGTGTGTTTAAAATTTTTAATCAAACAGAAATTATAACAATATTTTAAAATCTACCTTTTAAATGTTTTCCTTTAATATTCCGTTCCGATATGCGACTAGACTTAAATTCATTTGTATAAGTCATTTCACCAAAATAACATTCTAATACGAAAATAATGTACAAACTATGTATAACAAACATGATTTAACTGATTATGTGCAATTTTACTGTAAAGATTGTTCCTAAAAAGATTAATTCTATTGTTTACTGCTAATGATGTTGCCAAAATCCAAACATAAATAAGAAGAAATGTTTTGAATTTCTTATAAACTATGTACTGATAAATGCTTGTGTGTACAATAAAATCTAACATCATGTTTTTTTATTCTGACTAGTAGACAAGCCTGCCAGATGAGCGAGCTGAGGCTAAAGGAAAATTTTCAAGTTCCGTGTTAGTCCTGAAATTGCCGCCCAAACGGTATAGTGGTTAGGGGAGCCTGACTGCGATACCGAAGGGCCCGGGTTCGAGTCCCGGAGAAGGCATGAATGCAATTCTCGTCCCTTCATAGGAGGTAATGGTGGCCCACCTATTAGATGGCTCCATAATAGACCACCACAGCTGGCCTTAGGAGTGACCAATGCCGGCATAGGCAAGCGCCCGCCATTGGAAAAAAAAAAATTTTACTCCTGAAAAGAAAATGCATCAAAACATTTCAATCACGTATGAGAGTTCAATACATATGACATCAAGATTTAAATTTAATGAAATGTAATAACTATTTCTCAATATCAATAAAAGAATTACTGTGGCAATAACATATCGTGTCAGTTATTCTAACTTGAAACAAAAAAAAGCTGCCAACATCAACTATTTATTTAAAATGCTGACATTAACGATAAATTTTCTACATACAATGACGTCACATACAATCGTGGGCTTTCGTCAATGTCAGAACATGACCTTATATAATAATAATAGGTTTAATGTTTGGCAATGCTATTTTTATTTCCTATTTTGTTAAAACTTAGAAATTTTTGATTAATAAACTCTATGATTTGAAAGCAAGCAGTCGCAACACTTTTCGAAATAAAGCATTTTAATCTTCAGAGCGCGAGTTTCATGTAACGATAATTAAAGACGAAATAAATACTGCAGCAAATCTTTTTTTTCGTACTGTCTCACATTTCTACTTAAAACAACTCGTTTTAAACATATGATTTTTATGTTCTATATCTAACGATTAATTTTTAAACTAATAGGCTACTTGTAACTAACTGTAACGCTTAAAATTGATTCAGGCGTTAAATTGAAATTAGTATCGAAAATTGGATTTAACTAACTAATTTATGAACTAATTTGTGATTTTTAAACTTTTCTTTAAACTTTCTAAAACTTTAATGGTTGATTCTTTCAGATATTTCATAGTATGATCTCAAATTTTCAGACTAAAATTTAGTATTTTTAGCCTAAAGAGTCAATTTTCCCAGAAGGGCTATTAATTTCGTTTTGGGCATTTTGCAAAGAGAGGAGTATATGTACACGCTGCCATTCCAAAAGGAAGTGTTCCACAAATAAATGCAGTTGTAAAAGCAAGGGCCTCTTATGCAATTCAAAGTGTCATAATAGTCTAAGTTGTTGCAATAAATAAGATTTGAATCACATAATTTGGTAAGTTTATAACTTCTATTATTTTCCTTTCTCATTTTGAATGTACTGTGTGTTTTAAGTTCTTATGTTCTTATTCTGAGTTTCAAGTGCGTTTTTTCGCGAATGAACTACGGAGAAGGAAATATAATATTCTTATATATTCAACATTCACCGTTAGTACATGGTGAATGTCGACATTGACTGGTGTAAGTCAGAAATAAGAGTATTTGGAAAATATTTTGGACATACACCAAGAGACTATGTGAATGTTGACATTCACCAGTGAAAGTCGACATTCTCCAGATTTTGGTGTTTCACCGTAACATATACATCTCATATGATATTCAGTCCTAAAGTCCCTAAGTCAGTTGAAGAACTGTGGAGTTAAACTAACACTGATTGAAGAAAATACTTAATATTTATACATTAAGACTTGCAACCTCACTTGTAGTGACGTCTGAATTACACCATTTATTTTTGAAGGCCAATTACATTTTTAAAGAGAGGGGTAGCTATATTCTAGAGAGAAGAAAGATCATCAGCAGATGAAAAGAAGGTATGAATTGATATAAGTGCATCTAACTTGAGATGAAAAACAGATAACAGTAAAGACAACTTTCATTTATGGATTCCTAATTAATGCATGACTTTTTTTTCTCTTTTTAATAACCTGAGGATTACTCATCTCTATTTTTAATTTTAGGAGAAAAATTCTGATTTTCTTTGAAATATTTTGAAAAAAATTATATTTTGTTGCTTTCCCGTGACCACTGTTCCTCTCCTTGACTTCACATAATTTTTCAGGATTTCCTAAGCAAGTGGGAATCCTGGCATAATTCCATTAGATATTAAATTCATAATTCCATTTATATTACAGAATTATGAGCATAATTTAAAATGCAAACATCCATACTTCAATTTTCTAGGTTTCATTCACTTAGTCTATATGATTAGTCCAGTTTAAAAAATTATTTATTATTTTAGAACTTTTGTAGATGCACTTTTTAAATGTTCTACAGCAGAAAGTAATGCTTCTTGGTACCGTTGATTCACATTTCAGTTTTCCGGGACTTTAAAAATTACGAATCATAATAAAGTTGAATAAACTTAACATGAAATAGAATTTTTGCTTTTAGTGCTAAATTTTTCAGAAACCTTTAGAGCTTTTTTCTCTGTACTTTTTCCACTATAGCTATACTGACTGGGAAGGCATGTATAATAAAAGGCCTACTTCAAAAGAGAGATGTTTTATTTCTAAAAGCAATTATCTCATTTTACAAGGAAGGCTTTTCAACCTTAAATACTCAATTTTTCTCAAAAATATATGATTATACTGTTATAGATCTACATAAATAAAGCAAATAGCTGTTATAATTAAGATATGGTTATCTTCAAACTAATTTCCACCTTCCATTCTAATAGTTTGTTTGCAGTTTTTCACATTGCATTTCCATAAAATTTAGTCATTTAAGAAGTACAGCTTCACAGAATTCGAATTGACCCAGATTACATCCCAAGCTGCCACACCAGATCAACTTTGGCAATCGTGTGGAAGCTGCTTGGTCTGCTGTATCCCAAGATCACATCCAAAGTCTCTTTGAATCAATGTCGAGGCGTGTGGCAGCGGTGATCTCCAATAATGGCGGCTACTCTGGCTACCGATTCTGGAAGAAAGCACACTTCACAGAAGTCTATAAATTTAATCATTTTATACTTGGTCAATATGTTATCTACTAAATAAATTTTGTTGTGATAACTCTTGTCTTTCTTGGTGTTGCAATTTGGGGGCCAGCAGTGTATTTTGGCAACATACAGCATAGCCTTCAAATACATTTTTGTTCCGTTTCGGTAATCAGAAAGTACTCAATTTTCTTCAATTATTAAAAGTTTAGTTTTTAAATTTATTATCTGTTTTTGCTATGATTCATCTAATTTACTAAAACAAAGTTGCTTACTTAATAATTCCCAGAAAGTATACTCTCAAATTTGCATTCAGTATTGAATGAGATATTATACTTTAAATAACTTTTATAGGCATTTTAAATTAGAATATTTTTCGGTACTTCCTTATTATAGTGCTCCCAACACTAAATTGCTAGTCAACCAAGATATCACGTCGAAGTCTCACCACCTGTTCCTATTTCTAGTTACATTACATCTCGATTTGATTAGCGATTAAATTTTGGAGGCCGTTATAATAAGAAAGTACCTCTTGTTGACCAAACCTTTAATTTGATGGCTTTCCATGTTGCTATGTCTAATAGTCATGACAAAGACACAAAAGAATTTATCAGCAGTTTGGATTCCTATTTAACTGGACTGAGTTTGAAGCTTAGTTTGAGTATGGCAGATAAGTGATACAAAATTTACTTGAATACATATAATTAAGGATTCATATTGCTATATACAATCTTCTATTGCTATATACAATCTATAATTGAGAGGACAGTCATACTGTTCCTGACAAAGACACAAAAGAATCTACTACTAGCAAAAGTCAACTCAATAAAAAAAACTCAATGGAATCTTCTGCCATTTTAGATTTCTATTAACTGGACTGAATTTGAAGCTCATTTTAGGTATGAGAGATAAGTAATACATAATTTGTTTAAAATAATAGCCATAATTGCAAATTATAATTGTAAATTTTTTCTTTACAAGTGATTTATGTATATTACTGTATGCATTTATGTATTTTTTTATATTATGCATTATCATTCATTTATAAATATTAGCTTACAAAAGTTAAGCCCTTGATGGTAAAATCAACAAAAACAGAAAAGTAAAGCTTTGATCAACACCAGTCTATGTATGAACACAGCAAGTGCATTTATGTATGAAAGAAAACAAGCATTATGTGAAAAGGTAATAATAATATTTAATTCTCATGAATTATATGATGATGTCACATTTGGCTCATTAACAAATTGACGTTTAAAGTTAAAAACAAACAAAACTTACATTAAAAAATATGTGACTAGCTAGACCCTCACACAAACTTTACAGTGACTATCAATGCTTTTAAAGAGGTGATGAACCAATGCAGATGCTTGCAATTGCCATTCTTCCATTAGGGTAGTTCCAACTGTCTGAGACTGGCTGAAGGAAGTAAACATGAAAGGACAACATGCCCAAGGAGACCCGAAAATTTTTCAGTGGGATTAAGGCTTGGAGAAATACAGCAGCCACTCCATATGAGATATGTCCTGATTCTCCAGGTATTCATTAACAATGTTCACTCAGTGGGGATGGACATTATCCTCCATCAACAAGAAATCGGGACCAACTGCTGCAGCAGAGAATTTCACAATGGGGTTTAGGACTTCCTTTCGATACCATGCAGCCATCATAAAAGATATGAAGCTGGGTACGATATCCCACTGAAATTCCAGTCCAAGAGGCTTCCACTTCTGAATGTGGGATATTTGATGATGTTCTGGATCTGATCATACCAGCCTCTCTTTCCAGATCCTTACATGCTTATCGTTTGATTATACTATTTATCGATATACTTTGATTATACTACTATATCGTTTGATTATACTAATTACGTTTGATATAATATTATCAAATTATATGTAAATTTGAACATCCATGAACTGGACTTGACTCCAGCTGAGACAGTCCTACTGAAATATTTACAACCACTTTAATCTTGTCTCTCTAGATCGAGTGGTTAGTTTACAATAAACGCTTGGGTCTCAGACATACAAACCCTTCCCATGAAGCATTTGCCAGACATTATTGGCAGATATTATCATACCAAGTGACATTGCAACCATGGATATAAAAGTAGTGCAAGTCATTCTCTGAGTCCACTTGGATACTATAGTAATAACCTTTGCTCAACTGAGCATAGGTCTCCTCCAAGCTGTTTAACTTGTTTGACATTGGTTCCAAATTCCAGAAATTAATGACTGTTAAATGCTAAAGATAACAGCAACATCTTTGATTGATTATCCTGCTTCAATGCATCCAACAGCATTCCAGTGCTCACTATCTAGCATTTGTCTTCTTTTAGCTATAAAAACACAAATATCATCAAAAATTATCCTGCAAAAGTTATAAACTATTCATATCAACATTTCAATTAATCTCCTCAAGCCCTTCAAAATGCTGGTATGTTCAACAACTGCCTAATTAACCTATCTTCAGACAATAAATTGTGACTGGCTGTATCATACAGCATTTTCATGCAGCCATTTGCATGAAAAATTATTTTCAAGCATGCAAATTAAACCACACTTTTGAAAATTGATAATTTGAATTACATGCGTAGCTTTTGGAAGGTGTATTTTACACATTTAATATACCTTTATTTGATGATTATAAATAGAAACATAAAAAAAGTCTAATTGTAAAGTTATATAATGGTGAATTAAGTATATTAATTAATAAATTCACACAAGAAATAATTACAAATAAAGTTTTTATTCAAAATTCATATTTATTTTCATAGGCTCATATAAATATATATATATATATATATATGTAACAAACTAAATGGACGGATTACATCACAACTATAAATGGACATATTTACAACTTTCAAAATTCATCTTAATATCACAAAAGTCTATTTGAAGTAATTATATTCATTTTAAATGCAAATTTAATGTTTAGAAAATCTAAATTTCAAATTTAGATATATAAATAACAAGGAAAAATTTAGTTAACACTAAAATAATTCATTTTCATAATTTTTTAATTATATGTACAAAATTTTTCATTTGCCAATAAAATTTCTCATCCATATCCATTTTAGCAATAATTCTTTCAAAAAGGTGAATTTCACAGCAACATTAAGTATGGTATTTCTTTGTAACCATGTCAAAATTCATTGCTTCAAAGTCTGACTTAATGTATATGCAGTTACTTAAAAATTTCACTTCCAATACCATGTTACTAAAAGACAGATAAAAGGGGGAGGCACAATTTTCAATTTTCCTAAGATAAAAAACTTGATGCTATAATTTAAAATGAAAATCCATCATGTCTACGCAAAATTCACATTAACCAATAACTTTATAAAATAAGTGTTTTCATACAAGAAACAAAATACACTGTCTGAAAAGTTTTAAATAGTGACTGACTTTTAAGACTACCTTTATTTCTTCCTCAGTACTATGTATGGCAACTTCATACAGGTTTTGTAAAGAGAAAAAAAAAATGCCAATCTGCTTAGGAAATTGTAGTTTTCCCTCCAAAACAATGTCTGGTAACAAACCATTATCTATAATTGAGAGGACAGTATTAGAACTCCTTCTACATAGCTCATAATTATTATGTGATTTTCAGGCATTCTCAATGCTTAGAGACTACAGCAGGGAAAAAAAAAAAAAAAAAAAAAAAAGAGTATGTGAGAAGTGCCATGGTTGAAGTATTAAAAGTAACATCATAAAACAATCTATTTAAATTTTTGAACTGTTAATAAAATGCTATAGAAAATGTAATTCAATGCAAAGGACTCAGTTTAGGAAAAGAAAAAATATATAAAGCCTGTAAACATCATCTTGTTATACATAAAAAGCTAGTCTTAAAACTTTTCAGTCAAACATTGTAATAAAAATATAGGCAAAACAAATAACACAAATGCAGATCAATTACCGTAAAAGGTTTTTAAACACTTGTATTATCTTATATAACACAACAAATGTGAGAAATATTTTAACTAAATTCTGAATAAGCAGAAAAAAGTACGGATTTGCAAACTGTAAAATTTTATATTTTCTCCTAAGACAAGGTTTAAAGAACCACAAATTCATTGGTATAAATGAGATTCAATCCATAAATGTCCAAATACAGATTAGAAAACTATAATTTACAAATGATACGATACACAGTTGCCATCACCGCTAGAAAACCACTTATTTACAGTACACGTAAAAAAAAAACTACACTACAAAATTAACACCAGAGCAAAATAACAATGCTAATGATTTAAAAAATGAATATCATTTTTAAAATTTGTGATTATTACAATAATTTCATATCAAATACAATAATCGAAAGTGCAGACCATGAGTCTGTAATGAATTCTTATAAAAAATATATTTCACATTAACAGAAAATAAAAGCAATATCAAAAATTTCCCTATCCAAAGAAAAACAGCATTCGCTGAAAATCAGATTTAATTAATGCAATGTAACTGGATGCAAATCAAATTCAGAATGCTGTTTAAAATAATGCATATAACAATTAAAATAATGAAATATGCAGTATAAAATGGAAAAAATTATTCAAAAATAGGTAAATAATAAAATTTCTTACACAGAGTAATATTAATTAAGCTGCCAATCTGGAGATAAGACTCACATTTTCAAGCGTAACAGACCTTTTATAAATTACTTCTCTTTCATAAACTATCCAGTTTATTTAAGCAAGTTTTTGCCAAAGATGGATGTACTAGATTAAACAATCAAATTTTCACAACAAAGTAATCTGGAAAAAGCAGCTTACACCTAATCTAATTCAAATTTAATATATCAGTATATCTTAACACAATATTTCATGAATTCAAAAAATAATATTTTTTAATTATTCATTTAATTTAAAGAAATTAATCAAATATTCAAACTGAAACGAAATGCATATAAATGAATATGTAAATTTTTACAAAGAAGAAAACTTAATTAAAAAATATGCAGAGTTACATATGCTGCATCTTGTCACTGTTGTGCATTAAATATGTATATAATGTCTTAATGCATATAAATGAATATGTAAACTTTTACAAAGAAAACTTAATTAAAAAATATAGAGTTACATATGCTGCATCTTGTCACTGTTGTGCATTAAATATGTATATGATGTCTTCCATTTATTTCAACAGTATATATTCATTTACAGTTTGCAGAATAACGTAAAGTGGAATGTATGAAAGATAGTAGAAAAATATAACTTACTACACTGCTGTCTTATTAAAAAATGAGTGCTGACTTTAACTTCCCCTTTCCTCTGCCCAATTAAAAAAGAAATATGTAAAAAACTTATAACTAAAAAAAACTAATAATAATTAAGGAGGTATTACTTTTAGATGGGCTGGAGAGCTTGTATATTCTACATTATAATTTTAGTATGTTCTCTAAAATGTTAAATTTTAAAAAATTACATTCTCCTTTTGTATAATAAAATTATGTACTTAAGGATTACTAAAAACAAAATTTAAATTAAAAAAGTCTGATTAGAAATAAATTTATCATCTGCATCTAACTATACTAATCAAATGCCAAGATAAAGCACATGACTCCACAAAAATTGCATTAATATTTCTACATTACATTAATGTTTAAACATTGCATTAATGTTTTACTTCCTTAACTGAAACTTCAAAACACTTGTTAAACCTTCATATGTTTTAATAAATAAAAACTACTTATCTTTGAGATTAGGGAATGTTTATGCAAAGAAACTCGGTCACAGGGATATCACTTAAAAAACAAAAATCATAAATTATATTGTAGGGTTTATATTTATTTTAACTAACATTTATTTTAAGTTTAAACTATCTTTCCTGTCAAGCCTTACTTTCCCCTGGAACTGCCAATGCCAGAATATGTAAATTTGAGTAGAACGCGCAAGGATTCAAATTATCAGCGGAAGTATTCTGATTTAAATAGAAGGAAACGAGTTCGGTGTGTGATATTCTACTTAGAGAGCGAGGCGGAGGTAGTTAGCAAGAATTGAAGAACCCGCGTTGCGGCTATGTGCTTGGCGGGAAGTAGTGGTAATCGTTCCAGTGAGCTTCAAGTCTGCTGAATTAGCAAGCGGTATTGTAAAACGCGTGAGTTAGTTATTTAGAGAGCCTCGTAGTTAGAATCTTGTCTTTACTTTCTTTTCAGGTTTATTTTTATTTGACTGCCAGTTGGCACAGCTGTGAGCGTCAACGAGCACGCAATTGTAATTTATTACGTTGAATAAAAAGGGACTTAAACCCTTCACAAGGCTCTATCTTTTATACAAGTTTTCACAGTCACCTCTTGGTTGCGTGCAAGTTGGAGGCACGCAACGTTATAATATGATAAAAATATAATAAATTTCTGCATAAAAATGCAGTATAATTAACAGACCTTTTAATAATAAAAGCATAATCTTAACTAAAATCATACATAAAACAATTAAAAATAAATGTGTCAATCACTACCTACTAATCACTCAACAATAAAAAATTTGTATTCTTAATATAGGTATGATTACATTCAAAATAATTAATATATGGAATGTTAATTTAGAATACAGAATGGAAAGAATATAGATCTGCAACTTCTCAATCAATTAAAATGACAGCAACTTAAAGTGCTAAACCATTACTTCCTAAATAATTTTACAAAAATTCCAACTTTGCTGTACAAATAACATATATAAGAGGAATGTAATGATTGTCCTGTGATGAAAAACTAAATTTTTATGATGAAAATGTTTGTAATGCATATATTTTCATGAAAAAAGTATCAAACATGACTACAGAGGTTTAACTATAAAGTTGAAATGCTTGTATTAAGTATCATAAAAGCATTTTTTTCATTGTTATTACTCAAATATTTATTTAAAAAGCATCCAGTACCAAATGGTTCCACTAAGGCAATTTTATTAAACATCCCTTATACACCAGGCTAAATAAATTTTGTACTGCTGCAGCTGCTAAGATACTCTGCCTGAGCAAAACAGTTCCTTAAAAAACAAAACAGCTTTACTGCTGTAACATTCATATTTTTATTCTAATTTTAGATTAAGTTATTGCACAAAATATACTTCAGATCTTTTCATAAATAGGCATAAGACTAAGCATGATAAAACTACAATGCCTTTCACTTACTAACCATGCTAAACATTATTACACATATCAGCACAATAAATTAAACAATCCAGTTATTAGGGCTTCATTATATTTTGTAATTAGTGTTTTGTTATTTCTCTCCTGTGCTTTATAACTCTCTGTTGACAGATATTCTTTGTTTATATTTGTTCACTGCATCAAAATTACAGATAACTGCTCTCAACTCCTGCTCTGAATTCCTTATGGATGCATTATCTTTATCAATCTGCTCATAAGAGACAAGCTTGAGCCACAGCTTTGAATATCAGAAGTGCTTTGTGAGCGATTTAGTAACATTCACTTTGTTGGGGAAAATTACTGAATTGAACAACTATTAGTTTTTCCTCCTGCATATAGCTTTATATACGAGACAACATTTCAAAGATTTAAATAGTCAAAAAATTACAGGAAGCTCAGTAAATCTTAATATTTAGAGATGATGAGCTCAGTCATAATAAAAGGATTAAAAAATCACCAGGGAATAAATTGTTGAAGTATAAAACAGAAGGACAGATACAGTACGAAAGTGGAAAAAAATAGAAAGAATAAAAACAGCAAGAAAACAACAAAAAATATTTTGTTTGTTGGAAAAGAAAAAAAAACTAGATGAGGTAAAAAATTCAAAATACTTAAAAATGTGAATGCAATTTATATCAGTTCTCAAAGAATCATGAATTGTTATGCTATGTACAAGTATGAATTATTATGTTCTAATTTGAAAACTGGACAAATATAAATGCAATTATAACATTGTCAATATGTTAATACAGATAATCTTGAAATCTGAAGGACTGTTGCCAATATCTGCCAATCTTAAAATCTGTAGGACCAAAAGATTTTTGCATGGAAATTGTGAGGTTTTTATGCTGCACCTGTCAATGCAATTTCAACAGAATGCCAAATTCATTTAAATTTGCTTTATAATGCTTAAGGTTACTGAACTATTTACAATGTGATTCTAATGTAAAATATATAAATATTTAATTACACATTCAAAAGTTTATAGTTTTGTTTACTAATTTTACTTTATTTTGTACTTTTTAAATTTTTATATGGACAAAATTCTCTGTAAGGAAGAAAAGTTTTTATTTATCAAAGTACTTTTATATATAATGGGAGATAAAATTAATAATCTACGGCAAATAACAAAATTAATTAGTTAAAAACTAATTGCACATTTCATACACTATGGCACATGAGATTAAATGCAGTAAAAAACAGAATAAAACATCTTCACTTCATATCAGTTAGGTTATAATCCGTTCACTTCACACTGACTTAAGCATGTTGCAATTTTCATTTAAAGAACCTGTTTCTGCACTCTTCTTCACCTATTTGCCATTCAGATCCATTTTTTTAATTTGAAAGATGAATAGATGAAAAGATGAGCAAAATAAAAGACTAAAAATTTAAACTGGGAGATTCCTATCAGGTAACCAGGACATGTAATGAAAAACTGAAAGAACTGCAGCTATGAAATAACGAAACTGACTAGAGGTTTAATAACAGCAGCACATGAAATATATATCTACCACTAATAATATTACACTTAAAATTATCTATTTATAAATATATTAATCACCTAAATATAAAATTATCACTATTTTATTAATAATCATTGCTTATTGCATAATCAACTGTTCTAAGAAATAATAAATACACAAGGATTTTTAAAGTACCTCACCTGTTCATTCTGAATTATTACGACTGAATTTTGACAGATCAAGAGTTAATATACTTTTTGAAAGCTTACTCGAAAACTAAAAATGACAAATATTTGCACAATAACAAAGAAACTTTAATTTGAAAGGGGAGAGGAAATACCTCTCTGAGAGTCTTTAGCATTTATTATATTTTAATACAAGCATGTCAACTTACATAAAATTAACTCTTTACACCTAACACATACTCGGTAAATTGTATAAGATTAAATAATGCCTTAACAGTGATGTTTAACAAATGTTGTCAGAATAAATACCAATTGAAACATCAAGTAATCCTGAGTCTGTGTTTAACAAAAATCTTCAGGTCTCTTACTTCTGCATCTTGATGAAAGTGAAACACCATATTACCAAATGAATGAAGTTCATTTTCTATTTTTTTTAACCAAACTATGGTCCCTTTCCATACTCTCAGATTAAAAGTAATAAAATCTTTATCCATAATGGAGCTATATATACTTTAAAAAAGGCATATTTATGCTTAACAAGGCAACTGTTCCTATAAATGCCACAGACAGAAAGTCTGCAACAGCGCTTGAACCAGATACAAGTAATCCACATGCGGGAGGGCACTCAACATAGTACGATTCTACAGGAATTTAAAAAAAAAAAAAAAAAAAAAAGTACAGTGCACATATTTTAATATCCAAAAGTAAATAAAAAACTAAATTTACAAATATTGAAATAGATTTTTTTTAAATAATGACTATAATACAGAAGTGAGAAAATAGATTATAACAACATAAAATTGGGAAAATGTAAAAAAAAAAAAAAAATTAGAAGTCGTGAAAAATTATTACTTACAATTTCACACACACATAAAAAAGCATATTTAGCTTATTTAACTTATAGTATCCTTTCCAGAAATTTGTTTATAATAAGATATTTCTCCTACAAACAAACAAAATATAAAACAAGTTTTAAAAATGTCAATAAAAAAAAACTGCTTCTGGAGATGATTATTTTGCACCAAGATATAATCATGTATAAACATTATATTTTTATTAATTTGTACACAGTGGTACAAATGTTCACAAAAATTATATTAATTAAATGGGTTGAAAATTACACTGCTGGTCATTAAACTTGCAACACTATGAAGGAAAGCAGATGCAAAAAAGATATTTGTTGCATGCAAACAGTATGGCATGAAAACAAAATGATTAAATTTGGAAGCATTTTGGAGGTTTGAAATTAGTAGAAACAGCTGTCATCTTTGGCAACTAAAACTGCCCTTACCCCATTAGGCATAGAGTTAAACTGGGCTTGGATGACAGAATTTGTCAACTCATTCCATGCTGCTTCAAGTCTATGCCACACTTCATCAACCGTATTAACTGGAGAGGGGTGGGGGGGCCAGTCTCTCTGCAACCCGAGACCAGATGTTTTTAATGGGTGACATATCTAGAGACCATGCAGGACAGGGCAGCAATCGAATACCCTGTATATAGAGGAAGCTTAGGACACGACGTGCAACATGTGCTTTTGCATTATCTTGCTGGAACATAGCATTTGGCAGGCCTCGAAGATAGGGCACAACCACTGGATATTAAATGTCAGAAATGTACCCATCTGCGTTCAAATTACTGGCGATCCGAACTAGAGATGTGTGTGCCATGTACCCAATGACTGCCCAAACCATCACACCAAGTGCAGAGCCCCTATGCCGATATCAAATACAAGCAGGCGACATGCGGTCTACTTGGACACTGTAGATATGTATACGACCATCAGAACTGGCACGTAGAACCGAGACACGTTTAAAAAGCCATCACTGTGCCGCTCCTGAACCATGCTTTGTCATCTGACGCACCAGAGTCGCCATCTCTCTTTATGCTGCATTGTCAAGGGAAGCCGAAGTAATGCTCACCCTGATGATAGTCCACGCTGCTGCAAACGTCGGCATACCTTGCGGGCTGATACGGAGCTTACTGCAAACATGCCCATTTCCTGACTAATGTTCCATGATGTGGTCGTACGCTTTTGCAGGGCTGACCTCACAATATGTCTGTCCTCTCAGGCATTAGTGATGGGAGGGCATTGAGATCCTGCATGCCATTCTGTATGACTCTCAGTAATCCACTGATTTCTTATTCACATGACAATGGTTGGATGTCGACCAATGCAACCGACGATATCACGGAACGATAATCTACACTTTCGATAGGCTACAATCCTGCCTCTATCAAATTTGGAAACTTGCTGGTAAGCATTTCCTCTTCTTATTCGAGGCATAACACGATATTCTGTTATGCCTTGAAGATATTCTGAGCAAACTCCAACCTTACAAAGCACTTTCTGAATGAGAAATTCACTACACAACTTTTCTTTTATACAGTGCGTAAGGTGACGTTTCTCCCTCCTGTGTCGTCTAAATGCACTGAAATACTAATCATTTGCATATCCCAACTTCTTATTTTCTTGTGATTTTGACATTCATCAGATCATTCCTTCCTAGTGTTGCAATTTTAATGGCCAACAGTATATATTAATATGTGTTTTAATGTTTTCAGTTTGATGCTGTTGATTTTTGCTCAGTTTCATGATTCTAATGTTCTCAGTTTGATGTGTGATGCTGAAGGATTTAGTTTTTTGATAATTCCTTGCATTTCAGATGGAAATGTAGGTACAATAGAACTATTATCATTGTTTTTATTAAAAAATTTCATGCAGTTGATCATAAATAAAACTATTTATAAAATTATTTTCAAAGTAACTAGCGAGAAGATTAGCTATTCCTTGCTCAGTATAAGCATGGGTATTGTTGTAATGCAGAAGAAGAGTAGGGTGGGAAGTCTTAAAATAAACGCAAACCAGAGCTTGCTATTTGAGATAAAAGCACTTTAAATTTTGGTTTTAAATGTATGACAGGCACAATATTTTTACATGCATAGAAGTCTTTATCAAATCTTGATTAGGATTTACACTCTTTTGAAAAAAAAAAAAAAAAAAAAATCGAAGCACTAAGAAAGACTTTTGCAATCCTGATGAAATTTGGTATGCAAAAGCATCTTATCGAACATGCACATGTTCAAAGTTTCAAAATGAACAGGAATTGTGATCATAGCGTGCATTTCTAGTGCGTAATTTGCAAAGTATAAAACCAGTTACAGAGGCAGAAAATTTATCCTTTTTTGTTGCTGCTATTGTAATTCCGTAAAAAAGCAACTAAAGATGCAATTATGACGATATCGAAGACCTTACAGATAACTAAACGACTTCGAACGTGGTTGCATGAAGTTGGGTGGTCATACCGAGTATATTCTGCCACCTACAGCACACAGACACTGCTGTGCACAGACGTTGGCAGAATGGTTGCCACAAGGAAATTGCCGACAAAATGAAGGCTCTGGAAGTCCAAGGAGCACAAATGCAAGGCAAGATAGGATGATTGTTCGCCAGGCCCGAAGTGCCCCAATAGTATCATTGTCGACTATTTCAATGCACTACAACCACATCTATGCCTCCCCTGGTACCGTCCACCATCTTACAGCGCTTGTCTGAGGCGGGGTTATGCTCACATAGGCTTTTAACACATCTGCCTTTGACCACACAACATCAGTGGAGTCGTCTGGAGTGGTGTCACAGCCGGTTATCATGGCTGCCATCATACCGGCATTGTATAGCATTCAATGACGAATCCCGCTTCCCTCTTGAACCAGTTGACCACCGTGTTCATGTCTGGGGAGGACGGGACCATCGGTTCCTATCAGCTCTTGTTTAAAAAGGCATACAGCCACAACCCCAGGTGTGATGGTGTGGGGTGTTATTTCTTATGACAGCAGGTCATCTTTAGTCATGCTCCGTACATCTTTAACAGCTCAAAGATATGTTGATACATCCTGCGGCCGGTTGCATTACCCTTCATGGCACATCATCCTGGGGACATTTCCCAACACGATAATGCCAGGCCACATACCGCTCACATATCTCTAGACTGTCTCCGTGTGGTTGATACTCTTCTTTAGCCAGCAAGGTCATCAGACCTTTCACCAATCGAGATGTCTGGGGCATGGTAGGCCGCCAGATTCGGGCAACATAAAATATTGTAGATCTGGAACGAGAACTGATGAATGCCTGGCAGAATGTGTCGCAGGATGACATTAGGAACCTCTACCACTCCTTGCCTTGATGAATTCAAACATGCATTGCCGCCAGGGGCGGTTGGACCAACTACTAATTTGAACACTCAATGGGTGATTGTGAGGCGTGAGCAGGTACTACGACCTTGATTTTTAATCATTTTATTATCTGTGTACGAGATATACACATATTCAATTTCATCAAAAACAACCACTTCCTTCATGATGCTTTGATTTTTTACAAAAGAGTGTAATTTACAAAACATCAGCCTACAAAAAATTAGTGATAGGCTAGGTATTTCCTAAAATGAATTCTCAGCCCCCTCCTGACCCAGTATTAAAATTTGCCTCACTAAATTTTTATAATTTTTTTAGTTATAAATTATTATTTTTTTAAATATTGCTAATCAAATAAAAGGGGAATTATTATAATCATAAAAAGTCATACAATTTTATGACTAATGTTTCTAATTTACAAAATTAAACATAAAGATCTATCAGAAAACACACTGAAATTTTGAGATTCATTATATATATAACAAATCCAAACATACAACCATTACCATTATAACTTTTAAATATTCTTTAAATCTAAAATAAAACTTGGAATTCAAATTTATTTTCTATATAACAATTCTTTCTGCGACAAAAACAAACTGATTTTTTTTTTCAATTATCAGGTTATTAATAATACAATAAACTCTTGCTGAATGTAACGGATATGTCATTAATACATTGTGTGTACAGCAAAACCACCTTTCACAAAGTTAACGCTCTGAGCGGCCAGGGTTTTCACTAAAAAACCATACATTTCTCGAAACTACTATGAGAACAAATTATTTTTTTGATTTTAGTGTAAAAACTCTCCTGGTATTTCATACCTGGATTTTTTTTTTTCTTTTGATGTATTTTCTTAATTTCTTTCACATTTTTTAATATGCATTTATATATACGTTCATACAGATATGACAAAAAATATTATATATACGTACATATACGGCCTTGCTGCTTAGAGGGTTAATTCCAGTGAAAAAAAAGAAATGTGTTAGGTATAATTCATATTAAGAAAGTATGTATAATTTAAATAAATCCAAATATTGTAGTAATAAAAAGGGGAAAATGAAACAAATGTTAATTGATAGGATTTTTTATCAGTACTTATTGAGGGCACAATATATTTATTTTTTAAAAAACTTGAAGATTTTTGCTTCGGACAATAATTAATGCAACTCTTTAAAAGTTTCATGCTAAGGAGGGCAGTTTTTCAATGTTTTTCCCAAAGTGTCTTCTTCTTTCTTTATTTGGTTCAGTCTTAAATGTAAAATCCGATAGTTCCTCAATCTCTTTTTAACAATTCATTTAACTTGTCAGCTGGTTTTGTAAGATCTTTCAATTTTTCATTCGTCATTTCTCAATTAATTCTCTGACCTTTCCTTCTTCGATTATGGAAATCATTTGCTGCCAAATGCTTTTGCAATTTGTGTGATTTCTTTGGTGCCGTTTTTAAACGATGAAATCCTTTAAAATTGTTGATAACTTCTGGCCATTGCTGATGCCACCCAGCATTCAGTTTCGATAAATGAACGTTGAATTTGTATGACTGAAATTTCAGTGTTGAAGAAATTAAATGGAAACATTTAAGTTAATATGTATGTGCGAAATCGTATTCTGCAATTCTGCACATGGCAAGAGTTTACTGTATTCAGCAAACGCAAATATATGACAGAACAGCAATCAAATAATCTAAATAAGTCACTTACCTTCAAGAGTGATTTTCTTTTGATCACGGCCAAGCTTATTAATAGCTTTACATGTATATGTGCCATAAGAATCTTCATCTACAGCAGCAATACGCAGTTTTGATTCAACAAATCCTGATTCAGAACTAAATGTAGTAATGAAATATTCTCGCTGATTGTCATATATCTGATGCTGGTCTTTTAACCATATTATGGAGGGTTCTGGATATGCTTCGACTTGGCAATATAAATCCACATCATAATTTAATGCTTGCTTATAATGAGTTCTTGGAAGAGTAACTATTGGTGCAACTATTAAAAAAAAAAGTTTATCAACATTTAAAATGTATTACAAAATTGGAAATTGTATTTCATTTTACACAAAAAAATGCTTTTACAAGCTGGAGGTTATTTTATAGACTGAATAAACTTCACTTAAATTGGATTAGGTCTGGCCATTTAATTTAAGCAACACAAACATTGACTAATGTTTAATTTAATTTTTTAATTTAAATAACACAAAATTATCTGTCTAAGTTACGTTCATTTTTTGATTAATAACATCTCATGAAATGGAATTTAACTTCGAAAACATTATATTTTCTTGGTTTTTAAATGAAAATATTTTTTTTAATTATGCATTGTTATTTAGTAGTTTCACAGAACAGTATTAATTTTATTCTCAGACGACAAAAATCTGCAAAAGAATATCAATAGCTACGTTAATGAAAAAAACGTGAATAATGAGATGTTAAATACTGCCCCCCGCTCCAATTTTTTCTTTAATTAAAAAAGCTTTTTGGAATAAAAATATTAATTCTGAAGGGGAAAAACTACAAGACCTATGAAATTTTTCCCTTATATGCACAAAGCTCTCACATGATTGAAAAACCATTACAAAATGACTAGTACCATAATTTCGAGTAGCTAAGCCGCCCTGGCATATACGCTGCACACATGATAATTGACTGGAAAAAAATAAAAGGTCATCTGATAAGCCGCAACCAAGCATTCTGAAGCATGGCAATTAATATTCATTCAGTAATTCCCTGCCATATTGGTGTAATCATCATTGATAACATTTAAAACATAAATATAATCAGTAATATATAAATAAAGAAGAAACATCTTACCTTGAACATGCCGAAAACGAACTCTGATGATTTCTAATACATTATTTTTACGTTTTCGGTAAACTCCATTTATCAGCATAAATTACCACATTATGAAAAAGAATATGTAAATTAGATAAACAAACAGAATTTTCTAGTTAAATTAAACTACATTTATTTATACAAAACCTTCAAAATTCAACTCATCGATGTCTGATTTAAATAAATTTAACAAATGACCATAAGCAGTAAAAATGACCAAAAGCAGTAAAAACGTGTATGAATGAACACAGCACAGGTCAGTTTCATCATTCTGTTTTAAATCACTTCTTTCAACATCACTATCTTCACTTTCATTTTCTTTTTCAATGATTTCTGATTTAATGAAAGCCGATACGATCATATAAGCTCAGACTGATCGCCATGCTCTATCGACACATAAGGCAGCCTCCTCATACGAAGCTTTCTCATTCGTCCGGAATTCATGAAGGAATGGAGTCCGCTTTGCATCCATTCCTCCCACTGCTTCATAGCTCGTGCTTGAAAGTTCTATTGATAGTGAGATCTAGCGGCTGTAAAATTTTTGGAAGCCCACCTGGTATCACTGAGACATCGGTGCTAAGTTTTTTTGCTTCTGATCTTATCGTATCTGCTAAATAGGATCGCATTGAATCCAGAACAATGATTTCTCGGGGTTGAAAAAAGCACCTTTCCCTTTCCGATAAATTTCTCTCAGGCAAAACAACATCACTTCTTCGCACATTCATCCTTTCATTGGTGCAAATAATAACTCATTTTCGGAAGTTTCCTTTCGGAATCGTTTTTCTTTTGAAAATTATCAAAGGCGTTAACTTTTCTCCATTGGCAGTATAACCCAAAACACAAGTAAAAGAGGTCTTTTCTTTCCCGGTTGTTAACACTGAAATAGTTTTTTTCCCTATTGAATAAACAGTTCTGCTCGGAGGCCAGTCAAAAGTAACGGGGACTTTGTTCATATTAATTATTTGCCTTCTTTTCAAATTTTGTTCTTTAATTTTCTTAGATGTGTACTCCAAAAAAGTTATCTTTTTTTTTTTTTTTTTTTTTTTTTTTTTTTTTTTTTTTTTTCAAGCCAGTCTACTGGAAGCTTTTGTCTAACTATTTTTTGGTCTGGACGGATAATTTCTTTTGCTTCATGAACCTGAAACACCAATTAGGTCGTCCAACAAAATTTTTAATGCCCATTTATTGAGCAATTATCTTTGCTTGAAGGCAAATTCTAACTGTTGATACTGATAATCCACTTTCTCTCTGCTCTACTGTGCATTTCTCTAAATTGTCTTCCAAAACAGGCCTTGGCTATGACACCAGTTCGACGAGATCTTTTATTCTTAGGCATTTTCTCTAATTCTTTTTGTTCAGACTTCGAATGCACCGCCGAATTCTTTAGCCGCAGCACGTTTTCAATTTTGATGGCTTTCTCGTCGAAACTTAAACCAGCTGTATAACTTTTTCTTCGAGTAGGAGCCATAACAATAATAAGTGCAAATGATAAGGCAAACAAAAAGCAAGCTACAAAGCAGTAAAAACGTGTATGAATGAACACAGCACTTGCAAGTAAACGTACCTGCTACCAGTAAAACAAAACGTCATAGGAAAATGCGGGAAAAACCATGGAGTTTTAGGAGGAAGTACATGCATCAGTGTCTTTACAGAGAGTGCCACCTACCTTAGGAAAGTTTGGACCCATTGCACTGCCTTAGAGCAATCTAAGGTTAGAATATTGCAGCGAATTCTTACCGTTTTGCTTCTGCGTTACTTACGATCTGAATTAGCAAAATTTTAAGGACAGAAGAAAAATAAAATTCCCTCAGATATGCCACTCTGGTGGATACGCCGCCAACCTAAATTTTTAACTTTTAAACATGTATAAGCCACAGCTTATCTACCCGAAATTACGGTACTATTTTTTCCAAATTTCTGCTTTTATTTTAAAGTTAAAATACTAAACTAAATATAATTTAAATTTAAACTAAATATAACTTAATATACTATTCTGTATAAGTGAAGTAATTATATGCTAACTGTACTTATAACTGCACTGGTTTATTAGTGCAAAGGGGCAATTTGCCTAGAAGAGCTATTAATTTCATTTTGGCATTTTGCATTCATTCACTAAAAACAGCATATCACTTTTTAAATTGTTGCCACCAAATATTAGAGCCATGTATTATATTTAAATAAATTAAATAATGAAGAATCTGCATAAATGTATACATGTTTCTCAAACCGTGATAAAACAATGGTACCTAGAGCCATCAAATTTGAATAACGTATGTCTCCATCCAAACATGGGCATCTGGAAGCCCAAATTTGGAATTTGTTTCATTACCTACTTCATATTTTGTAAATGAATTTAAGAATTATGTCATTTATGAATTTTTGATTAAGAAACTCAAATGATTTCAAAGTAAGCAATGTCAACACCGTACAGGGGAGGGGGATTATCTCCAATGCACAAGACTGTGTATATGAAATTCTAAAGGCATGCTCTTTTAAATATTTTGTGATATTGCTGTTGAATTGAATTTCATGGTTTAAGTACAAAGAACGTGATATTTAACAAATAAAGGTAACACACAAAATGTTAAGAAAATGCCTCTTTGGGCGTAATATAAAATCTGAAAGTTTTTTTCTTTTCTTTGTCCAAAAACAAAGTGCTGAAGTGTTCACAGAATCTACCACATTCTTTATAATAAGGAAATTAATTTAAAAAATTTTCATCATGATACAGGTCAGTAAAGATTAATGCTGCAGCTTTTAGGACGTTTTTTAATGTAATGTGCTATTTTGTATATTCCAATTTAAGTTCTAAATGCATAAGAAAGTTAAATAAAGTTAACATGAATTACTATACAGCATGTCTGCTGCAACATTTAAGACTTTTTTCATTAATGTAATATGTTATTCTAAATATTCCGATTTTAAAGTTCTGAATGCATAAGAAAGTTAAATAAAGATAACATGAATTTTACATACCATGTCAGGTAATACTTTTAGGACTTTGATCATTAATGTAATGTCTATTCTGTATATTGTGATTCTGAACGTCTGATTGCATTAGAAAGCTAAATAAAGTTAACACAAATTAACATATCCAGAATATTTTCAAAGCCATTAGTCACAGTCACATACTTCTAATAAAAAAAAAATGTCTTAAATAATATAAATACTTGCATTCAGCATTTTTAAAAGAAAAAAAAGAATTTTGTGAGATTTATGATAAGTTTTTACATGTTTTCCTAGTTCCTATACTTAAAGAAACTTTTATCCTTACTACAAAAAATAAATACAAAAAGTTTGACTACTATATGATAAAAATTCACCTTTTTAAGATTGCACACTATAGAATATGTCCTTACGGATAACAAAAATATTTTAAACCATATATTATATACACATATATATACTTAAATTTTATATATTATTATACACATGAGGGTTAACAGAATAAGTGACTAGGATTTCTACGAATATTACTGTGAAAAGTATTAACCAGTACTTTTTTTTTTTTTTTTTTCCCCAAACAACAGCTATATTCACAGAATCTTATGGAATTTGTTCTAGAAAACTCTAACAGGTTTCAGGCCCGCTAGTGGCCAAGTGGTAAAATCAACGAACACTAGTAGCTTTAACCTGGATTCAATTCCAGGCAAATGAGCTGGCTGTATGGATGTTTTTGTGGTTTTCTCCATGCGCACTGTATATACGAGCCAGTTTCCCTTAGAAAGTCCTCCATGAAGGTATTCCTCCCTTTAGGCAGATAGCCCCAGTGTGCTTTGCCATAATCAACTAAACCAAGCTAAAACCTGGCAGGCTTCAGTATTGCCATATTGCCAACACATAACCTTATTGTTGAATATCTGAAAATTAAGGAGTATTTAACTTTTAAGCTTTAACTCAATTTAACTTATTGACTTAACTGTTTGACTGGTATTGGACAAACTACACTAAAAACAAATTCTCTTATTAAACCTGAAGTGTGTAAAATAGGAGAGAGGAACTGTTTGGTTATTTAATGCAAATACTTTTAACAAAGCATATCTTAAAAATCAATTAAGTTAATTCAATCAATGCAACTTCACACACCTTTGATTAAACTTAACCTGAAATAAAGGAATAGAGGAATAAATCTTCACTGGTGTTCAGGTAAAATATAAT